TCCAGAGATCGGGAGTCTCGCAGAGACAAGGAAGAAACGCGAGGCAAGGAAAAGCCGGAGGTGACAGACAGGGCGGAAGGCGACAAAAACCACGAGTCCCATAGCGGCAAAACGGAGGGCGCAGACATTGTTTCAGAACTCGCGGCAGGAGAGTCTGAACCTGCAGGTGTCAAACCTGGGGAAGAGGCAACACCCGAGGCTACCTCATCTGTGGAACAGGCAGACAAGGACACGGGCTCTGTGGCGGACGCTCCTCGCTAGAGACTGGGACAGCGGTGCCCTTAACGGAGTGTAGAGCTTTAGTTGTACAGTGCTGTATGATATCTGCTTCGCCCTCGGCCCTGCCGGAGCTGCTGGGGCTCTGTAAGCAATTTGATTGCTTCCCTTCTATTTAAAATAGCCACAACATAACATAAAATACTGAAGAGATGATTAAAATATTACCCATTTTTGCTGTAACTTTTTTAAAGTTTTGACTTTAAAAAGTTTACGAATCAGAAGTAGAAGTGCTTTCTATTTTTTTTTTAATTTAAGAAAAGGTAACGGTGAAAGCTCCTCAAAACAATAGGGATGTGTTTTTAATAAACTCTATTTTCGTAACAAACTTTAACGTGTGCTATTCTTCCTACGCTGCACTGGAGTGGAAAAGGAACTTTAAAAGTTCAACAGCCTAAAGTTGGAACTGTTAATGCTGTACTGGAGTCTAAATTAGACTGGCTTGGTTATGTGTGTTAAAGGAAATCCATTGTTTTGTGTAGCGACTCACAGAAGTGAATTTTTCTTTGTACTAAGTCCTCTGGAGTTTTAGGTTTCTGCATTTTAATGAGCTATTGACCACCTTAGGTAAAAGGTAGTTTAACAATGTTAATTGCAGAGTTAACTGTTTAGTGTTTGCAATGCAATCCATTCTTTGCTTTATTTTTTTTTCTCCCCTTCAACTGGTTCTGTGGTTCCTCTTGCCATTCATTTGCCTTTTTTGAAGCAGTAACACCTCAAGCACATCTGCTCTGCTGTGACATGAGTGGGAGGTGAGCTGGACAGTGCCTATTTCACAGCTGGTCCTGGGCATCCAGTGGTGCTGGTTGGAAAGGGAGACTTGGAGCCACCAAAACCTGCTATAAAATGCCAGCCTGGTTCTTCCCTGGGGCTGGGCTGTGCCAGCAGTATGACGCCACCCTTAAGGAAAGGCCACCCCAGGAGCTGGGCACACTGTTGCTTCCTCCACAGGGACCAGGGCTGCTCCCACGGTAACACCAACCCCTGCCAGAGGTAGGTTGTGCCCACTGGGGCTGGGGCAGAGGGCATTGCCTTGTGTTTTGCCACCTTTGCTCCATAGCATTTCAATGATTTTGTTGGATTTGCTAAGGGCAAATCAAGTTTCTCAGTGCTGATCCCTCAGGCACAGCCAGTTTGGGAGGTCTGTCCCAAAACCTGGGTCATTCACGCACCGGCCTTCCCTCGGAGCTCTGTTAGCTCCAGGGGCACAGTGGGAAACGTGTATGGCTCCTGTGCATATTTAATGCTTTTTTTGCTCCTTGCTATAGGTGTGGTTTACCTTTAAAGTTGGGCGTTTTCTCCAAGGAAAGGGCAGCTGCTTCCTGCCATTGGTCCTTTTTCACAGCTGCCCTGCAGCAGAGAGAATTGTCTCTGGGGGAGGGAGAGGGTGGGAAAGCCACTGTGGAGCTCTGGGTTGGGGAGAGGACATCTATTTTTATGTTCTTGCAATAGCAGAATAAAGAGAGAAAGAACCTGTTTATGTACTTGTAGTGAACTCAACTTCCATGTGTTACAACTCATGTCCTTACTGATTGTTTCCTCCTGTGTCCATGGGACTCATCCTGTCCAGGGAACACCAGGAATTTGTGTTTGATCCTTGGTTAAAACCACTCTGAAAGAAGGGAGGGTTGGTTTGGCTGAGAACCATGCATTAAAGAGTTGAGGGACAGGAATGAAGGAGATGAAAGGCTGCTCTGTTCACACAAATCCCACCTCATGTTCTCTCCCTTTCCCTCAGGAGGTATTTGAAAACAGAGCCTAGGAAAACTGTGGAACAATTCCTCACTGCCTTCTGCAGCAGTGCCTGTGCAATAAACCTCAGCATCACTGGTGTGACCCTCTGGAAGAGGTACAGGCAGGCGGAGACTGTCCCACAGCTGTCTGGCACCAGCAGGGAATGTAAGTTTATAGCATTTGTACACTATTCCTGCTCCACTACCAACTTCCCTTTGTAACATGCCTTAGTGGAATGGGATTACCTACAACTACAACCTGCTACTTCCATGAACATCCTTATGTACAGGATAAAGGAATGCTGATACAAGTCCTCATTAAAATGATTAATTTTCTCTATTAAGAGCCTCAGGAATCTGTGTTTCAGAGAGATACAAGAGCATGATGGAAGCAGGCACTGGTGCACAGTGGTTACTCCTGGCTGGTCCTAGGACACTGCCTGGAAGCAACTTGCTGGATGCAGCTTAACCTGATGAAGCCCAGAGCCCCTCTTCCCTGGTAGCAAGGCAGAGGTGCAGGTTTGGGGGATTGTTCCTTTGCCACAGACATCAGGACCCAAGTGCATTTGCCCAGAATATTTATTACACAGGTTTGAAGGCTACAAACACTGCAGATTCCTGGGAGGAAGCCCTGATAGACCCAAGGCTCCTGCTCTGCCAGAGCCTGTGTGCCTCTTCCTCCCAAGGTCTGAGCACTGCTGCACCCCTGCCCTCACCCACAGCAGGAGCTCCAGGGTGCCAGGGCTGTGTCAGGGAATGGTGACACCAGTGCGAGCAGAGACTACAGAGACATTCCAACAGGGACACTTTTAATTGCAATGTACATCATACAAAATTCTGTCAGTCTCCATCGGGTTAAATGGTGCTTGGGATGCAGTGGAGCAGGAGATGAACAAGAAATGTTTAGCTTGCAGGAGGAAGGGCACAAACAGCTCTGTGAAATGGAAACAGCACTGCAGGTACAACACTTAGCTCTTGGCGATTCCAATCACACCACAGGCTAAACGTGGCCCAGCGTTTCCAGTTGCTTTGCTTTCATCATCTCCCCCTCTGCCCAGGTCATCCCTTCTCTCATGGACCTGAAAGGAAATTCAAGGGAAATTAATCCATGCTATTGCAGATCCAATCACCACATCCACTCACTCTCAGTGGCAGTGCTGACCAGCAGCACTACCAGCTGCCAGGGGGTGTGTTACAGCACAGGCTAATTACACAGTGCCAAACTGATATCCATGCTAAAAACTGCAACTAGACTCCTCCAAAGGGCTCCCTCCAGCTGCACTGGTGTGAATGGGAATCACCAAACCCCCATGTTCCAAAGACTAACTGCTAACTGGAGAGCCAGTGTGGACTGGACACTACAGTTAACCCCCACAGCCCCCCTCAGGTGCCCATTCCCGAATCTTTCAGCAGCAGCATTTGTGTCAGGCTGCAAGTTCCTTCCACAAATCAAGTTCATTTGGTTACCCACAGCTGGAAGGGACAAAGTT